GGGGGATAGAAAGGGGATTGGGAAGGAGGGGAGAGGGAGGGAAAGCTACAGATATAAATATCCACACAAACTCAAACATAAACACACATAGATACACAGACGTACTTCTTTCCTATATTTTTAGATTAATACTATTGTAGCGCGAACTATAATTTTTTTTATTTCAAGTGCACGCGGTATAAAATGCAGATAACGCGGCAATTGAACACTGTAATCGTAAACTAAAAAAATATGCTTGTTAACCGCAAATATTTGTTCTTTTCTGCAGGTATGATTTCGTATTCACTACTTCGTACGTCTCATCACCTCTGATGGATGCAGACGACACTGTAGGCAGGCACGCGCTCAAACACACGCGCACACACACGCGCGAACGCACTCACGCACGCACGCATGCGCACGCACACAAACAAACACACCCACACCAATGTACCAAGACACCCCCACATACATTATGTTTACGTTTCAAAAACATTTATTTACGCTAATCACAGTTAATAACAGTAAGTGCAATATGATGATTATAAATGATATTAGCATGAACCTATATGTATATACGCATAGATATATAGAGACACATGTGTTTGTATATATATCTATCAGAAGTAGATAATAGGGGATTCCCTATTATCTACTTCTGATATCTATGGTACAAGACGTCTCGTGGATATGTTATGTTATGTAAAAAAAAATATATCATATATATACATACACATGATAATACAGTTACCGAGTCAGCCACTCCTTATTGTTGAAATTTGGAGAATAACTAGGCATTTCATTGAAGCGAGACATTATATTTTGCCCGAAACCGACATTTGTTGCCGATAGATGGCGGTAACAACGGTGGCCTAATCATTGGAAACATACAGGATTGCTGCATTCCGTGTATCCGCCGAACGTGGTTGTTAGGCCGGCCCCTGCTAAGCATCATTTGTGCTCGTTTCCGTTCCAGGCACAACAGTTCAGTAAATCAGAGAGTATATGTCACTAAGATGAAACGCTGAAACGATTGTCACGGTAACCGATGCGTATCAAACGCAAACGAACGAGAATCTCACACGGAAAACGACCAGAAGTGAAGACGAGAGAGGCGTCTGGAACTGTACTGATACTCCTGCAGCCGAATCAGCTTCTTCGATCGCTGTCTGCATCGCCAACGCCGCTGCCACTGCTGCTGCATACTTTCAGGCAGGAAAATTGCGAAATTCGGTGCGCGTAGCAAATGGCAAGTAACATGGCGAGTCCACGGCATTACTACGACAACCGAGTGAGAACGAAAAGCATCGAGGACGTGAAACTGGCACAAGTCATGCAGGTGAAGTCGCAAGAACGGTGGGATGACGGAAAGCCGCTAAGCATACTCGCACTAGACCCCGCCGACAGGGCTGTACTGAAAATTGCAGGTACGTAATACACAGCATTCCCAAACTAGATAGTGGGTGCACAGGCACTTGAAGCGTTTCAATAAAATATATACGCAGGGGTCGTGTGCTGTGCACTGCGACAGTTAAATAGCTATATATTTAACTGTCGCCGTGCACAGCACACGACCCCTGCGTATATATTTTATTGAAACGCTTCAAGTGCCTTAGAGTGGGTGAGTCATCGCTTAGTCAGCGTGTTTCACCCCAATTTTTCTTTCGTAAAAGTCAAGATATAGTATTAGTACGTACTTAAACTACCGGTACTTATCCCTTCCAACCACGCATCCACACACGATTACAATACCCACAACATTCTAGTTTAGTACCACATGTAGTTCTAGAATCTAGTGCTGATATTAATGTATGCAGATAGATAAATATCCAATATATATGCATTATGCATATATTATGGGTGATACTACTACTAGTACTAGTTCACCAGTGTAACGGAAAAACACATTAGATACTTGCCTTTATCATCTAGCTCATGTAAATTGAGTTAGCATTAATCACAAGTCTTGGTAAGGCAATATATATATATATTTATAGATATATATATATATTTATAGATATGATACTTTCACTAAAATTAGGAGTTCCTTGTACTATAATGGGAGAAGGCAGCGATAAGACTGATTAATCATTCATTAATAACGTCATTTTAATTTACTGTGGGTACCTATGCAAATTGCGAATGCAGATATAATGACTTGCAAGACAATAGCACAATAGATATAGTCATTTATAAAGGATATTCTATACAGATATTGATGCCCCTGCACCCACACCTAATTATCTACGGCTTGTCCACAAAAATTATCAGTCGTTGTTGGTACCAGTACGTGCTATTTTATCGAAATGATATACAGATGGTAGTTCGAGCACACTGTAGCATCTGTACACATTGATAGCGACATCTAGAACTCGGTGGGTATACCGTGTGGTTTTTTCATACACCAAGCTGCGTGACAGGTGTTTTGGGCCATTGTTCACAAAATGGGCAGCTGCGGAACCCAAAAGCAGTATATATAATAATAACAATACACACTCGTCTATTCTACACCCATAGCATATTATATGCACTAGTCTATACGCGTCTATGACAAGCGCACGATGCATGATGGTTGGTGTGGCGTGGCGTGGTTCAGAACGAGCGAAGACAATCTGTGACGCTACCCCAGCTGATCGATAAGGGACCGTACATGTACAGTTAGTGTTGTACCGCGTGTTGTATAGCAGCGGCAGCAGCGGCGGCAGGAGAGCATCTCACTCTGTTGTTCACCCACGCGAGCGTGACTCCTCTACTGGCTTTCTTTCTTTCTTTCTCAGACGGGAACAACAGCGGTAGTGTTGGGGAAAGTCACATGTACTAATTACGCCCAGGAGCATCAAAATATCCGCAAGAGTGTATTTCCACAGAGTGTATTTACTGCGACCGTAGGGGGGGGGGATGTTGTTGGAGAGGTTCCGATTGCACTGACGCAGTAATCATGTGTATAGGTAATTGGGGGTAGCTAGGTCTTTGTGTCCGAGGGAAAGCCGATAGTGAACAGCTGATCAATGCACGTTAGTCTCCAGATAAACTATACAGTACTAAACTCTCCAGATAAACTATACAGTACTAAACTCTCCAGATAAACTATACAGTACTAAACTCTCCAGATAAACTATATACAGTACTAAACTCTCCAGATAAACTATACAGTACTAAACTCTCCAGATAAACTATACAGTACTAAACTCGCCAGATAAACTATACAGTACTTAACTCGCCAGATAAACTGTACAGTACTAATTTCTAAACTCTACAGATATCTAGACTGAAGTTCCAGTCGTGCACGCACGAATGTTTGTGTGAATTCCTCGTGGATGTGGTGGACCGTTAGCCGTGTTTAGGGAGGAGGGGATGGAGGGGGGTCTGTTTCAGGAAAGTTTTCACTACGCATACGTTGGCGACTGTTTACTTCACCGAGTGTGTACAGTGTACACGCATCGCCGTGGTGTGTGTACAGCGTGTACATGCGTGCGTCACGCTGGATTAGGGAATGTTCTGCTGGCTCTTTTGAGCTTTCCTTAATCTTATTCACATTACGTCTTCCATCTCAACCAGCTGGCAGCCGTGGAAAGAGACTGCACGTACACCTAAAATGCTGGCGAGGATGAAAGGGATCTTAAAGCATTCGCTTAAGCACGTACCACACGCTAGGTTTCTGGTTACGAACACGAGCAGCTTGGGTTTATTCCGATGAAAAAACCCCGAAGTGACATCACATGCTGGGTTGAAACGTATAGACAAAGATGAGCGGTACATCGATCAGCATTCATTCATAATTACACCACCGCGATGTACGTAAGCGTACAGACTTAGCGTCCAGCTTCTACAGTGCTAGTGATATCGAGTACATGAACATGTCTACACATATTGTTAAGAGACAGGGGTCAGTATGAGGAGACAGGAGGGGGTCAGTATAGGAGGAGGAGGAGGAGCAAGAGGCGGAGAATGAGGAGACAGCAGGATGGCAGCAGTGTTAGACGAAAATGCAGCTTCTGCAGTGCTAAATGATACCTGGTACAGTGATACATGTACGTGTCTGCACATAAGCCAGGATGGGTCAGCAGGAGGAGGAAGAGCAGGAGGAGCAGGAGGAGCAAGAGGGGCAGGAGGAGCAGGAGGAGAAGGAGGAGGAGCAGGAGGAGAAGGAGGAGGAGAAGGAGGAGGAGCAGGAGGAGGAGCAGGAGGATGAGCAAGGGGAGGTCAGGAAGAGGAGCAGCATGGCAGCAGTGTTAGATGTAAACGCAGCTTCTGCAGTGCTAATGCTACCTGACACATGTACATGTTTGCACATAATGTTGGGAGACAGGAGGGGTCCGTAGGGGGAGACAGGAGGAGGAGGAGGAGGAGGAGGAGCAGGAGGAGATAGCAGGATGGCAGCAGTGTTAGATGTAAACGCAGCTTCTGCAGTGCTAATGCTACCTGGTACTTGTACATGTCTGCGCATAATGTTGGGAGACAGGAGGGGTTAGTAGGGGGAGACAGGAGGAGGAGGAGGAGGAGGAGGAGATAGCGGGATGGCAGCAGTGTTAGATGTAAACGCAGCTTCTGCAGTGCTAATGCTACCTGGCACATGTACATGTCTGCACATAATGTTGGGAGACAGGAGGGGTCAGTAGGGGGAGACAGGAGGAGGAGGAGGAGCAGGAGGAGGAGGAGGAGGATGGCAGCAGTGTTAGATGTAAACGCAGCTTCTGCAGTGCTAATGCTACCTGGTACATGTACATGTCTGTGCACATAATGTTGGGAGACAGGAGGGGTCAGTAGGGGGAGACAGGAGGAGGAGGAGGAGGAGGAGGAGGAGATAGCAGGATGGCAGCAGTGTTAGATGTAAACGCAGCTTCTGCAGTGCTAATGCTACCTGACACATGTACATGTCTGCACATAATGTTGGGAGACAGGAGGGGTTAGTAGGGGGAGACAGGAGGAGGAGGAGGAGCAGGAGGAGGAGGAGGAGGAA